ATAAAAAAAATATATCGTGCGTGAAAGTACTTTTCGAACTCACTCTCACACTGCCCACACCGCTACCGCCCACCACCTACTGCCAAACATACCCTAATGTGTACTACAAGAAATTCGCGGGACTGTCAGAGGCTATTTAAACTGAAATAGTCGATATATGAGGGGGGTGTAATAAGTGTATTTGTCCCTGACAAACACTTAAAGCCATTTTCACCGGCAGAATAGCGAATACCTTTTCCAGGGCTCTCTTAGCTCTAGAATGTTTCTATAAAAGTCAGTTTAAGATTTTTACAAAGTTTGACATAACATAACACATCACAACTCAAAAAGAAATGTAGCGAAACGCTGTAAATCCCTTCATTCTACTTTTCATTCTATGCACCAGATACACAAAACAACAACGTCATTCTACCTATTGCGACAAAGAAATAACTTTATTAGCTGTGGCTGATTTTGACACAATGTATCACAACTAAGGCACTTTTGTCTTTTACTGGAACAGTCTCGAAATGCACATCGAACAATGGTTCACGCATCCCGCTATAGTATACTCTGCAAAAATGTACGATGTCCATCAAGCTTAAATACAAGAGAAATAGAAAATCCATCTTTAGCTTAAGTCGTAATTTCGTCCACACTTTTGTAGAAAAGTCGAAAAACCAAACTTATCAGTTTCGCACCTAATAGCCTTTGGTTGAAGATTAGATAAATCGCGCATTCCAACCATCCAGATGTGCCCCGCAGAGGAGAAGAGGTTTGCCTGTTCCTGCTTTTCTGTGATTTTTGCTACTCTTTTCGTACCAGCCAGAAGGACCAAAGGGGACCGTATCACAAAAAAACTTAGGCTTAAGTCTATATTTTGCCTTAATTTTTTTCGTGATATGACCCCCCAGAAGACCAGATCGCAATCTTAGCCCTGCATTGTAGTAATCACGTCTTTATTAATTTTTTCTGTTGACTTTAATGATTGTGTTCTTGTGTCAGTGGTCACGTCCACCTTACTTAAGAGTATTCTTTTTCTTTCTTTATCTCTGTAGCTTATCTCATACACAGAGCCGTAAAATTGGTGTGTGAGGGGTGTGTACACCTCCCAAGAATAAATATTTATCGTTTCCTCCCAGCGGAAATTAAAACTTTTTCTCTTACATCGCAAAAACTCGGATTCCACTTTTATCTAGCGAAATCTAGAATTTCAGCGAATTCCAGTTTTTGCTACAACATGCGTATATACTCCTGGAGAGCGATGTTTTTGGCATCGATGGATAATCTAAATCCATATAAAACCGACCACAATTTACATCAACCTTTGACGTTAGTGACGAGACCTACCTCATATTATAAAGGTCAGCAAACTGAACCGAATGGTGAAAACCGCAAGTGTCTAGCTTTGTTAGGAAAAGAGCTATATTTTACCCTCGGAGCAGAAAAATGCATTTTCAAACCATATCATTAGATAGCTCCTTAAGATAGCTCTTAAAATGAGATGCTGGTCAAGTTTCTAGGATCGTGCACCACCGAGTTACAGGCTTAATTGTGGTCGGTTTTATATGGATTTAGATTATCCGTCGATGCCAAAAACATCACTCTCCAGTGGTATTTCTAGTGTTAGGACACCCAGGCCCAATTTGACCTCAACATTTTATATATCATGCAAAATTTTTCCCAGGAGGGCTGAAAATGGTTTTTTTGAGGTACCAGTTTTAATCACGGAGAAAAACTACATCAGACTTGTGAATATGAACTTGATCTGAGAGAGGACCGATTTTGCCTCTTATCGTCCTTTCAGTGCGGCACTGATTTTTACTAGTGAGGCAGTTTTGGGGCAGAAATATATCGGCACGGATGCGCACCGGCGCCAGAGCCAGTGACCGATGGCATACCATGCGCACCCGTGCACACTGGCAGTGCCGCACTGAAATATTTTTTATAGGAAGGCTCATTGTGGAAACCTGTACAGTCCGTCATTGTTGTATTGGAAATGATTCGTATGTGCAGTTAAGTTTCAGTGACACAATTTTTGTAGTTAATAAAATAATTTACTTACTTACTTGCTAGCTTCTTTCACTTTTTGATAGAAAAAAGTTAAGAGAATAAAAGAATAAAAGGTGAAGTTTAGCTCAGCGCCTCATTCAAAGTGCAAAATCTCATACCAGTAACAAACAGTTACTATTCTACTTCAAGCACACTCACAACGTACAAGATTTTATCTCTTATGTTATTCTGTATAAAATGCGCATACATATTCTGTTTCTTTACAAGAGCTGTAGATTCTGTATACTCACCTGAAAGCTTTTTTATTCTACTTTCTGGATGTAGTTCTCAATATCAACTTGTAAATTTCTCTCGATGTTCAACCCATGAAAGAAAAGATTTTCATATAGTCAACGGCGTAACCAGGAATTTTTTACCAGTCCCTCAACTTCCATTAGGTCGAATGTAAAAATCCCAGAAAGCACAAAGACATTTTTTCAAAAACTTGCTTACAAGGTCAGAAATTTTAAAATCACATTGGGTTAAATCAGAATCTTATTGGTATGGCCTATTGGAGCACCCCGTAATTGTACCACTGTATATACTAAAGACGTGTCTTCTATGTTCTTCTGCGATGTATGGAAGTATCCAGTGGTAATTAAATCCAGTAACATTCCATCTCTAAAACTGATACCAACCGTCCAACTTCTGTATTCTGCAAACGTTCCGCTTCATTATGAGAGAGTACCGTAGCGTAGGCCCCACTGTCGACGCAAGCTTACTTTTGTTTCATGTAGAAAAAATGTAGTAATGACATCAAGAAATAAAATACACATATTGTCGATTACTCAATATTATCTTTCAAATTAGATATCTATACTTATTCTGAGATACTATAAACAACGATCATCGTGAAAATACATAGTGTGATCTAACCATAAATTAAATTGAACATCTTGTCATTATTTTGTTTTTATTGAACTATTCAACCTAGAAAAACTTAAATTGATTTGACATCACACACAATAATTGTTTGATATTAAATAAGTAAAAAACTGAAGTATTCTCTTTAAACTAAAAGTAAACCCATAAGAAATCAAATACATCCAAAAGAAAATAATCCTAATAAGTACAGTTATTTGTGAAATAGAATAAAGTAAAAAACTGAACATAAATCACCATTTAAAGAAAACGTTTCTTTAATTCACTGTTAATAGTAAAATTATTTGTCTTGTGAAAGTGTTGATATATCAACTTGTGTAATATAAGATGCATTCAAATCTGTATCTCGTTGAAAAAGTTTACCAGGATGTTTTGTTACTTTACAACGATTATTTGTTAATGATTTTAATCTAATACCATTTGAATTGTAACAAATATCAATCATTTTTTTATATGCTAATATCTTCGCTTGTGTTACTGACCGACTAACACTGGTGGGAAATAAAATATGATCATTCAGAATCAAACGATAAAAACAATAATCAGTACCATCCATCTGTTTTGTTCGTTGATCATGTTTGATATTCACTGGTTCATCCATTTGGAAAACAGAATCAATTATTTCACAATTATCATGTAGTTGAACTTTATGATCTTTCAAGCGTTCACATAATTTGGCAACGGCAACCAATGTTTCAAATGGAACAGGATAATTATTACTTGAAAAAACGAAAATAATAAAATGTTGTAGATAAGTCATGTATTGAAGTTTTATATTTTTGTATTATTATATATGAACTGGATCACCTTACTGTTGTGTTTATTGAACAAAGAAAAATTCATAACTTACTCTTCATCATCTGTTCCATCAGACATTTGTCCTTGCCATTTTGCAGTTTCATAAACATCAGCCAAAGATGGATCAGTCATTTTGCTCTAAAAAAATCGAATGAGTAATATATATTAATATTACATGGAATCTACACACCGTTTCTAAACTGGCATTTGCCAACATTGATGGCTGAATATTGCAAACATCATTTTGTGAAGAAGGTATTTGTTCGAATTGAATTCTATTACCTTTAAAGATGAAATAGACAAAGTTCAGAAGGAAATGAACACAAAAGCTATAACAACATGTTATTGTCTTTGAAAATACTATCAAACCAACATACCAGCAATTGTTCGTGCAAGAAGACTGTTGGATGAAGGATGTACCGGCTTATTTTGTGGTGTATTCAGTCGTTCAGGTATTAATTTTTTGGCTGAAAAGCTAGCTGAAAAAAATTGAAACATTCAGAGCTGTCCCATTAATTAGCACTGGCTATGCTATACTTCACCTGGTCGTAATGCTTCACTAAAACTACGAGTTCTTGATCTGCCAAATTGTTGTGTTTTTGCCGAAGATGGTGGTGGTACTGCTATTGTACTTCGTGGTAATACTGCTTGACCAAAGCTTTGAACCATTTGCTGTCTATTAAAGCCTATAAGGAAAATGAAAAATACTGTAGAAGATACAGAAAATGTGAAAATACTTACGTTGTGCAAAAAGAAAATCTTCATGATATATATCACAAGCTACTTGGCAATTTTGTGCCCATTTTTCAATTCGTTTAGCAACAAATCGACGAACATTTGCATCAGTATGCCTCAAAATAAAGATAATCAAAATTTCAAAAATAACAAGTAAATGTAGCAGTTTGTCACTTACATAATTGTCCATTCCACTTTTTGAAAATCTATATTAGTACCAGAATTCATACATCTCACATCAATAATAGAACTCGTCATTTGCCGTAAATGATTTAAACGAATATCCTTCAATGAAAATAGACTTGGTGTCTAGCAGACTAGTAAATACATATTTTTTACCTGTGGACCACAAAATTCTTTACGAATATTGAAACCAGTTAATTGAACAATAATATATGTATAAATAATCGTTTTATGATCATCCTAATGATAAATCTTTTTTTAATCTTAAAAGCTAAATGATGGAATTTACTCACATTATCAGGTAAAGTCGGTGATGAATAACCGGATGATGATGATGCATGATGGCACATTGTCGAGCTCATGATGATAATTGGAACAAAATATGATTGCAAAATAGGTGAAGAAGATAATCGTATGAATGTTATATAGTTTAAAGATTGCCGTTAGTTTTCAAGTTCTTATATATGCAGAGTACAGAGATGTACAAATTGACGAAAATTTTCTTCTTAGTCGTCCAAAAAGTCGTTAAGACAGAGAAAATGAAGCGTTGTATAGTCTATATATTTTTCGAACTAAATGTCATAACGTTTAAGCTAGACTTTAAAAAAATTTTCATAACGTTTGCATCTGGTTAATATCGAATAGATAAAAAAGAAAATGAGCAATTTTGTGGAAGATCTTGTTATGTGAAAATTATCTACGAGAAAACAATAACTTTTGTTTAGAGAGGACTGAGATCAATCTTTGGAAAATTAAAATTGTTCTATGTAGCCAGATATCATCAGAACAGAATGCAGATACTTACATTAGTTCGCATGGTTTATATTAGTAAGGTTCGACAAGTCAGGCTTCTTTCTCTTATCGTGTGCGTAGTCTTTACTACGCTCATGAATGATTCGAATATTATATTTAACCATTAAATCGAAAACATGCAATAACAATATTCGAAGCATCAATCTTTTGGATCCCTGACCCCTTTTAAGCTAAAAAGTGGATTAAAAAAAAATTCATCAACAAATTCATCCTAATTCAGTGAAATTTTATTTTTTCATTTTGCCACAGACCGTCCAGTTTAAGCACTTTAAGAGCTTTTTCAGAAACTGTAAATCACAGAAAAACTGATTTACGTATAGTAGCGTCCTCTAACAGGTGCTGGAACTCTTGCTGAGGTTCTTTCCTGGTTTATGGTTAACGACAAAAGGAGTCAATGAAAAGTGAGTACTAGTGGCGTGGCAGCTATGTGTCATACCTTTTCTTTGTTTTGTTTTAGCCCCAAATAGTACCTCCAAGTAGAGACTATACATCAGTTCACATTGATCCTGGTTCCTTGGAGCTAAAGGAAACAACGATTCCTTTTACGTGTTACTCGCTGGTCGTCCTAAATAGCTGTCATAAATGATAAGCCTTGTACGGTTTTGTTAGATAGGTGAGCTATACCTGTAGGAAAATTTTTCTCCACCAATTCTCATTGCAAAAATTGATTTGTTATTCGTAAAGATTGACTGCAGGGCTGGTGGCACCGAGGTACTATGGATGCCACAATAACAAATTTTTTCTTGTTTTTTCATTGATTAGGTGAAATTTTATTAAAAAGAAAGACTTACACTAAAGTACACTAAGTCAGGAAAAAACTTGAACTTTCTATCTATAAAGTCCCGGCCGAGCTATGGTCCACTAGATCGACTTTTAAGTATAAAAGAAAGCGAACTGCCATACTGGTAGAAACAGACGGCCAAACGTACACTGTAATGTCGGGAATTATTTATAGAAAATGCTCGGTGATTTTCAAAAAGTCCATATATAAATTCCCTGAGGATTTTCTAGATTCTAGAAAATCGAATTTATAAGAAACTTGAAAATTCGACCTCGTATTTCTAGAATTCTTGAAATTCGAAGCCGATTTTCCAACATTTTAGAAATTCGATGTGGAATTTCAAGAATATTGGGAATTATTTATAGAACATGGATCAAATTTCTAGAATATTAGAAAACTGACACCGAATTTTCATATTTTTGGAAATTCTAAGGCGATTTTCTGAATATAGTGAAAAGTCAATTTATAGAAAATCGACTATCGACTCGATTTTCTAGAGGATAGAAAGCCAGCAAATCGACAGGGAATTTATAAAAGATCGATTTTCTATAAATCAAAAATTAATTCCAAATTACAGTGCAGAACTTTATAACCGTCGAAATAAAAGAGAAGTTTATTTTCATGTTTTATCGAAATTATACAACAAATAGCAATATAAAACGGCAATGATTTACATTTAACAAAAAAACACTATTTTTCTTATTTTAAAATAAAAACTACAAAAGTATATTATGTTTCGTTCAAATGCAGAACGACAGTTGGAAATGTAAGACATTTCTACTAAGTCTTTAAGAACAAACAACGAAATTGAGATCACCCAGTGGGCATTTCATTTGGCAAAGAGCAAGAAGCTCGTTTGAACTATGAAGGAAGGCATTTTCAATTCATATTTCCTGATTGTTTTCTGACTTTTAAGAGACAGCAGTATGAGTGTCCTCTTGTTTGTTGTTGGTGATGTGGTTCGGACTTGTGCTTCATGTTCGAGATTGAATACTTAATTATCGAGAAAGTACTTTTTACTTTTTGTAGATTTTTAACAACTAATCCACACCTATCTTTTGATTTGATCGTTCTCACAATTTGAGTGTGTCCGTATATGTTTTCCCGCATTTTGTTTTTAACGTAGCCACTGTTTTTCTGCTCCATTTTAAAAACTTACACATGGACCAAATATTATCGCAAACAAATATTTTAATTCGCGAAGTCGAACATGATCTTGTATCGTATGAAAATGCAAAAACCAAAACGTCTGAGAATGAATGTGAACAAGTAATTAATGAAAAATTAGGACGTCTATTACAAATGTGTGATCGTTTAGATATACTTATAAATAAAGAGTCAGTCAGTAAACGACCACAATTAAGACAACGAATGAACGAAATCAAATATGATATGAAACATTATCAAGTAAGCAGTCTTTATTCGATATAGAAACTATATTGTTATAAAATACATCGTACTTTGTTTATTTACTACTTTAGGCAGCATTTTCCAATATCAGTCGTAAAAAACAACAACATGAACAAGAAGAACGAGCCAGAGATCTATTATTAACACGAAAATTTGGACCCAATACTACCGTCACCTCAAGAACAGCAACCGATTCGGGCGATACTCAGATTCAGTTAGATCATGCACTTGACTATAGTGATCGTTTAGACTCAACCCATATGCATGTTGATAATATATTATCTCAAGCGCAATCTGTACTGGGTAATTTACGTACACAAGATTTAACGCTAAAAGGTGTTCGCACAAAATTAATTAGTATGGGTAACACGTTAGGTCTGTCGTCGACACTCATTCGTTCAATTGAAAGACGTGCAAAGAGTGATTGGTTTATATTATTTGGAGGAATGATTTTAACGTTATTAATTATGTTTGGTTTATATAAATGGCTCAGATGAATGCAATATGTGTGTTAGTGCATTCATTTATAGATGAAATTCAACATAGGATGAAATTTGAACAAGAAATGGTGAAAGGTAGCGAATACTATCAATACTAATATCAATACTAGTTCCATTAGAATAAATTGATATTCTTATTAAAACTAGCTTAATCAAGAAAGTTTGATATTTTTTGTTTTATCTACATTTTTGTATTCTATAAATTTGTTAAAAATCATTTTTATTTATATGTTTTTCCTCTCTGTTGAGATTCACTTTTGACGTTGCTGGTACATTACAGCTACAATATCTGCTGTTTATTCTAGATTTAAAATGTATTATTTTTCTGTTATTCTCTTTGGTTTATTATTCATATCGATAACTCAATCAAAAAAGAAAGATTTAAGAGATTATAGTGATGATGATATTGAAAAATTATATCAACAATGGGAGGTACAAAAGATTATTTACCTTTTGATTCTAACAAATGTTGTTCTTTCTTTTTGATGTAGGAAAATGACAGCGATAAGTTATCATCCGATGAACAGAATGATTACTATCATCGATATCGACAACAAGAGAGATCTTATCCTGATTTGAGTATGAACTATGGAGAAGAAAAGGCAAAAATAATGAAAAAAGGTCTAATACAAAACTTATTTGTGACTTTATCCGGTAAACCAACGAAAAGAGAAACAGAAGACATCAGCGAAATATGGTATTTGGGATTAAAGAATGCGCTATACGATATTAGAAAGTAAGTTATTTTCACTCATTTATATTTTAAAACTATAGAGAAATAGTTGACTATTGTAAAATATTTAGTAAAAAGCATAAATGAGATATTGAACTGTATTTTCCTAATTCGTTCTTACAAACATCTGACAATTGATACTGAATTATTTTGTTTATTAGATACGTGATTGATGATGATCGTGTCTTATTCGTAGCTGAAGATGGCTCACAATCATTCGATATAAAAGACTTTCTTATTCAACAAGATCGATGTAATATGGTATCGATAGATAATCAAGTTTACTACTCAAATGAAGCTAAAGTAGGTACTTTTAGTTCAAATGCAATTTGAACTACATAAAAAAATACCCATTGGCGTTGATAAGTTGAAGGTTTTAAGAAATGGTGCAGTGATGGGCGAGTCATGACTCAAGTCGCATTTTTTTAATAACTCTGACTTGACTCTGACTCGAAAATTGGAAGACATTGACTCGAGTCATTCATTCGAAAAAAATTCTATTCACTAACTGCTTTGCACACATTTCCTCTTGTATAAATTTGGGTATTCCTGAATACTCTTACTTGTTTTATTTTTATTGTTATGTTTCAACGTCAAAGATGCGTTCGTCAGACAAACGTAGAACAAATGTGAAGAATATATAATTAATTAGAGTATGTCGATATGTAACAGTGCTGACGGAGAACAAGACGGAGACAAAGTGCTAAAGAACCAACAACTGATTATTGCTGTCTTGTTCTTTGTCAGCACTATTACATATAGATATACACTAATTAATTATATGTTCTTCACATTTGTTCTACGTTTGTCTGACGAACGCATCTTTGACGTTGAAACGTAACAATAAAAATAAAATAAGTAAGAGTATTCAGAAATACCCAAATTTATACAAGAGAAAATGTATGCAAAGCAGTCAGTGTACATAAGAAAGTAGAAAAAAATGGCAAAAATATCTTGATTCGACTTGACTCGGAAACACTGGTGACTCGACTCCACTCGAAGCCGCTGCGAAATGACTCGGATGCGACTCGGACTCGGAAAGTGGCTTGACTCGCTCATCTCTGGAACGGTTATGCAATCACTTTATACTAATTCATACGTAATAGAGTTTCA